ACAAAACATTGGTTTTTCACAGATGCACTTCTTACCAGGCAAACAGAAGCAGTTTGAGGGCTACACGGACCAGCTGCACTCGATCCTCGACGTTCTTACCCTCAAGTTTCAAGCCTAGGGGGCCAGCCGCCCCCTTTGCCTTTGCCTTCGCGCGTGCCTTTGCTTTGGGGCCAGCGACACTGGCAGGATCTCCTCCTCACACGCGCATACATGGTGAGTCACAGAAACATGGGTTCCAACAGACAAAGCATCATTCCACAACAAAAGCAAGAAGTCCTGCAGGGTTGCCACCTGCAGGCGGCGCTGAGTTCTGAAGGAAATTGAGCACCTCTGGGGTTGGAATTGACGATGGGGTTCCAGACAGCTCAGACATAGGAGCGTTGCCCATCAGCTCAGCAACCTGTGAAGCGTGAGCCGCGCCAGTAACCTGCGCTGCTGTGGTCCGGCAGGTCTCTCTCGCGCGCCTGCGTTTCACCACCACCCAGTAGCGAGTAAGGGCCGGGTTCGTTGGGCAATCTTCATCCTTGGTGCCTGCTTGCCTCTGCACAGTGGCCCGGATCTTCTCCCTTAGATACTCTTGGAAAACCACAGGCCCGTTGCCCTAGCTCAGCAAAGGTGGACAAACAAGTGTCAGGACATGTCAACTGAAAAAGTTGGGTCAAGTTTCTCTGGGATGCCCTCCCTCCGCATTTGCTCCACAGTCAACTGTTCCTCTTCAGCTCCTTCCCGATCCTGGTGCTCCAACTTGAAAAGAAGCGACGCTTCGATCTTGTCCGCGTTTTCACCGTGACTGATCCACTCTTTAAGCAACTTGTTCTTGTCGCTCAAGCTTTTGTTCCACATCTTTCCCATCTCCACCAAATGAGTGTTTCGCTGAGACTTCATGAAACGAGCAAGCCGTTTGTATTCATTTGGGTGCGTGACGGAGTTGACCGAACCACCCGCGCCAACATTGACAGCCACAGAAGGAGTCTGACCCGGGGAAAGCGGCATCGTTGGCATGAACTGAGCGACACCTGCAGGAACAAGCTCCTGTGAGCCTTGGCGAACATAGTCCGGATCTGTGTCTGCGATTTCCATTTCATCCACCACAGCCTCCACTGGCTGTGTCTCAGCTTCCTCCATAGAAGCAGCACAGCGAGTCGGGCGTGCTTTGGGTTTGCCTGCAGCTTGTAGCTGCTGCAACACATTGTCTGGCGGCGACTTAGACTGCCTGGGCAATATTGATGGCCAAAAAATCTGGATGGGCATGGGATTCTAAAATTCTAAGGCCTGGACACACTGGAAGTCGGAGAGGCGACTCTGGCTTGGTCTTCCAAAAGAGCAGCCGCTTGCTGCAAAGTCTCAAGGGAACCGGTCCTTCTCAATCAAAGAATGGCACCAAACAAAACACAACCACACAGCAAAGCTCCTCTCAACACTTGGCTGACTTGGGATAGCAGGCTTTTCACGTTGGTCCTACAGGAGATGAAATACAGCTCAGCAAAAAGCAGAATCCACAAACACCTCACCAGAGGGCCATCCACCATCGCATTCACAGGCCTTGTCAAGCAAAAAGGTCATGTGACTGACAGTCACGAGATTTAAAAATGTGAGCGCCCCGCTCAACCGGCATTGTTTCCTTCTTCTTTTGCAAGGTCGCCTGGCAAAAAAAACATCAAACCCGTGTATACGTGCCGGTGTCACCCACCTGGTCTCGCTCATATTGCTCTTTGGCTGCTGCAGCAAAGACAGAAAGATGGATTGGCGGTGGGTCCACTTCATCATCAGCAATGTAAAAGACCCTCTCAATAAGGTCATGGTCCCAGCCCAATCTCCTGCAATTCCCTCTCAGTCGGAGGACGGTCGAGTGATTGTTGCAAACGCTTCAGTCGCGCAAGCTGCAACTTTCCCAGGTTCCGCACTTCACTCTCCGACATGGCCATGGTTCAACCAAGTTCGCAAAACAGAGCTGAAAGGGCTTGAAATGTCAAAAATGACCACAACTCTCTGGCCAATGAGGTGGGCAAAAAATGGGCGGGGGATTTACCCACGACTACCGGGGATTTACCTCCTTTTACCGGGGATTTACCTATGATTCGCCCACCTCGTTTTTTTTGGTACGCGAGACTTCCTGACATGCCAAGAACACACTCAGCATTGCAAAAACAGCGCAGTTGGTTTTCAAGCAGCATTTTCCTTTCAACTGCAACATGTTAGCGCTGCAGCCACTTCAAAGCAACATCTCTGAGAATTTCCCACCGGCCCCTTGGCTGGAAGGAAGAAGAAGCAAGCAAGTATTCCATCAGTTGGCACACGCCGGCCTCAGAAATTGGCGAGCTTTTGATCAAGAAACCATGAGCACCACATTTGTGACGCATGACACCACATCCAGAAGGCTCCTGGCATCATCTCAGCGATCAGCCAAACGCCAATCAATTTCCTATAGCGCATTGCAGGTATGTGTGTTTCTCATGTTTGAAAAGTGTCGGATACAAACCGTGTACAATCCTACCCTCTCACCTCGAAAAGTTCCAGGTCAGTTTTTGTAAGGTCCACAGAGCATTCCTCTTTTGGTGCCATGGGCAGTTCCTGCAACGGACAGCACGCGCGTACACACAACATGAAACACATCGCACACCTTCCAGTCATTCCCACCAGCGCACGCCGCAGTAAACAGGGTGGCCAAGTGATCAGCAAAGCTCTTTGCATATGCCCTCATTGCACTCTACAGAAGCTCCACTCTACGACCCAAAACAAAAAAAAACACGTATATACACAAAAAACATCGAAAGCGCATGCAAGGCGCTGACTTTTCTTCAGATTGTTTTTGTCCCCAGTCCAACTGGTTGTACCATCATCTTTCTTGACTCGTTTCACAAGTGGTTCGTTTGTAGACATCTTGGCCCTGGTCGCAGCTGGCAAGCTACCAGCCGCAAGATGCAGCCGGGTCAGAAGTGTTTCATCGTTCGAGTATAACCACTGCGGTTTGGGACTCTCCAAGGAGAAAACACCATGCAGGATCGTGGTGCGCCAAACCTGCACAGAAGCATACATAAGTTGAAAGTGTCTTGTTTTTTCCACGCCTTGAAGCTGTTGAACAGCCACGCTAGACGAGGGTGCATCTCAGCCTTAGAGCCTTGCGGTTGTTCAAGCAAGACTCGCAAGCCTCTGCAAAGGGCAAGGCAAATAACCAAGACTGTTCTGCAACACGCAAGATTGCCAAAGGCGACCGAAGGGTATCCGTGATTTCCAAGTGGAAATAGAACGCTCCGCTGATGGGTGCCCATGTTCCTGGGTCTTTGCAAGCCCAATGAAAATGAACAGTTTACTGCATTTGAGCCATTCAAACTACAGTCAAAACGCTGTCCATGCACGGGTTGCAGTAGCTCCCACAAGGAAGCCCAATCATCAGCAAGCCTCCAGCTCGTATACGGCGAACTTCCTGCAACACAGACCTGAACCAAAGCAAAAAAAGAAACAAGGAGTCAGAGCATACGACTTCCAAGGGCCACACAAGAAGCCACCAGAAGTTGTGATATCCAAAGTTGGACTCACTTCTTTATCAAAGGATGTGCCTTTGAAGCCAGCCTCAAAAAATTGAGTTTTTGAGAAAAAGGTCAAGCACACAAAGACACACCTCACGACATAGGGACCCCTGCAGTCCGAAGCGATTCACTGACTCTTCCAACGCCACTGAATAGTTCAAGAAAATCTCTATCCTGCAGCCCACCCAAAATAGCAACTGCAGGTTTTGAACATCACGCAAGCTAATCTCC